TGTTTCTCATTTCTATCTGATTCTCAGCTCCTCTTTTTCATTGAATTTAAACAGAAAATTTAAACAGAACAGGACATTGAAGAGAACAAAAAAATTTTTGGATCAATTGATGCAAAACTGCAAGGGATCAAACATCACCTGAGACTGCATAATTAAATTCGAAAACGGTATGCAAAATCATTATCATAGTGTTCTGTATCAGAAACTGCACTATTAAAATTCAATGAAAAAATGAAAAAGAGAAGCTGTGAATCGGATAGAAATGAGAAATAAATGAAAATTGATTGAATACCGAAAGAGAGAACATAAAGGGAATTAGGGTTCTGGTACAATTGTAGTCTGTACGCTGCCTAACGTGGAATATCGTCTCGGCTGTCTGTGCGCTGACTGAGTCTATTCAGCGCGCGCTCAACTAGTGCTGCAGATCAGCAGACACTGCTGAGGGCGGCGAGCTCTTCTCCTCTATTTTTGACCTTTATTCTTTACCGCGTACTGATTCCCATCTGAAACTCGCTATCTGCGACTTGCGGTGATGAGATTTTTTTTCTAGCTGCGAACCTTTTCTCTTCACAGCTTCAATTTCTTGTTATAGCCTGACTTAGCTTTAGACTTTTGGCTTCGAATTCTACCTACCTTCCGAACGCTCCAAAATTTATTGTGACTTTTTTGTTGTGTCCAGAATGAATGTTGTGTTAAAAGAGTTTGAAGACAGCCCTCCGCGCTCAAGTAGTCCATCGGTCGTCCTTCCTTGTGCAGGTAGTTCAGCCCCCAAGCTAGATGCTGTCCCACTCTCGCAACTCCACAGTGAGCGAGGAGCGAGCTACAGCCGCTCAAAGTTCTAGTTCTAACGCCCGCTCAGTTGGACCGCCTCACTTGCTAGCTGCCCTCTGACGGAGAGCCGCTCAGTTGTTCTTTGTTGGGACGGCGGGCATTAATCGGAACTGCATGTACTTTTTGCTGACCGCGCTCGTGCCCATAAATAATTCTGCTCTCCTTCATCACATTTTATTCATTGGGAGCACATACAGTCAACTGCAACCCATCTCGTAAGGTAAAACGCGTAAAAATCACGAATGATGCAATTTCTGTGGTGCAAAAGCTCGACATGCACCAAAAGCTGCACACTGCACGTAACCCCAAATTCGGACGCCAGGTTTTTGAATTTTTCCTTTTTTCAAGTGTTTTTCGTTCGTGTCTTTGTTGTTTTTCGTATTCTTTTCTTTGAATGGATGTTGTCCACTACTGGGAAATGCCATAAAGCGATTTGTGAGCCAGGGGTTGCCCACGGACCGCAGGGCGGTGTAACTGTAAGGGAGCAATTTTGTTTGTGGTGTTCTTGAGGGCTCTTGTTGCTTTTTTTCCTTCATTGAGGAATTACTTATCAGCTACTGTTTCATAATTGATCAGCAATTATCCTTGACACTTTTATCGCGGGAGCTGTCTTTAATTATAGATTCTCGGGTGCCGGCCCATCGCCTCTGTGGATCACTTCGTGCCCGAAGCACTTGGAAGTGCTGATCTTGTTGAGGAGATCTCTTGTGGAGGTGACGGAAAGGTCGTCAAGGTATGTTCGATTAGTTGACTCTTTTCCCCCTGTGTGGTGCGCCCCAATGACGTGATTTCGTTTCTAGATGGGGGTGATGGGCACGATTAGGCGTCAGGCTTCTTCAATGTAAAGTCGGGCAGTGCTCAAAATCGGCTCAAAATGCAGCACTTTCTCCTCCCATGAGCACTAATTGCTTTTTTCTCAAATTCGCAACTTTACCTCGTTACTAAAATCCTGTGCGACAAAGATTCGTTCTTGCAATTGTTACTGTTTTAGGTCACTGGTGTTGCCAACCCGGGCCAGGCATGCTCCATTCTCTTACGTGGTTCCAACAAGCTGGTTCTTGAGGAAGCCGAACGCTCTCTTCATGACGCTCTTTGTGTCATTCGTTGTTTAGTTAAAAAGAGGGCACTTCTTCCAGGTAGCGCTCATTAATGTAAATAGAGAGGGTGCTCCTATTTTCATAAATAGAATCTTTTCAGGTGGAGGTGCTCCAGAAATGGAAGTTGCTGTTCAGCTACGTCAACTAGCTCAGAAACAACATGGAGCTCAGCAGTATTGCTGGCGGGCATTTGCTGATGCCTTAGAATTGGTACGAGCATAATTTCATTCTAAACAACATATCAGAAAAATTTGAGTGGGCGATTACGTGACGTAAGTCCACCCATTTGTTTCTTTTGTGACTGTTCTACGCGGAAAATTAGCTGTTGCCATTCAAGTTCACCTAGCCCTAGTTAGCGTTTTTTAGCCCTCAGCACTAATGTTGCCTTTGTTTGATGGGAAATTGGGGATGTGATGTATTTTAATGCGCCGTATATAATAGGATCCTTTGTAAATTACAATTAGTAGATCTTTCAGTTGTCTAGTGCCTTACGAGGTTGATACAGTTAGTAGAATTATCTCATTACATTTGCATGGTTCGGGGAGAGAGTGTTAGGATTTCATGGAAATCTGTTAGATACTGTGATGTCACCCAAATAACCCAAAAGGCGGCGCAGCAGTGTGTTACTAAACCAAACAGTATTCGCCTTTTTAGGTGCCCTATACCCTGGCGGAGAATGCCGGTCTTTCCCCGATTCACACTGTGACCGAGTTGCGGGCGCAGCATGCCAACGGCAATTCTGACTACGGTGTCAACGTCAGGAAGGTATTGCCCTCTATGGATTTTCACGCCATCGCCTTTTGTTTTTTTTTGTTGTTGAGAACTCTCTCAATTAACTACGAGCTGTCACGTTCGAATTTGAGGGCTACGTAACCGATATACGAGAAGAAAATGTTCTGCAGCCATTGATGGTGACCATGTCCGCTATACAGCTGGCATCCGAATGCGTTAGGTCAATTTTGAAGATCGATGACATAGTGAGTTTCCTTTTTCAAGAGTCTATGGTATCGAGAATGATAATATTGGGATATCCTTAGTTTTACAACTTTTTTTTTCTACTCGAAAATCTCGACTTTTGTCGCCCACTGAGAAAGTGCATCAGATTATACTATCCGATGCACTTTCTCAGCACAGGAATTATGAGTCATCGCCTGTGCACGGTATACGGTGCTGCTATCACGCCGCAGTGTTCTGATTAGAAAAAAAATGAGGTACTATCTAAGCCTTACCAACTCGCACACGGGAACGGTTTTTTTCCTGGATCGGACCAACCTGGTGGCTCTTAATTTCACACTGTGAATCGAATTTCCATTGAGTGCATGAGAATGGTATATCTTCAAACGAGCTTGCGAGGTCTGCCCAGTCTGCTTCTGGGAGGGATGCTCTGAGCGATTGTGAGGGAAGTGCTATTATGACCTCAATGACCACTGTTAGCAAACTGGAGAAGATTTTGAGTTCTCATCCTTGGCTGTGCCCCATTCTGTGCCCACGAAACCACTCCTCGATGAGAAAAGACCATGCACACTGAAGAATCCATGCGGCGGTCATATGTTGATATTTGGTCAATATAGCTGTGATGGAT